GCTCTTCCATGGGTGATCGTTTCTAAGTCTAGCCGTAGGATTGATAGTGTTAGTTAGTAACGGATAAGCGGTTTTTCCTTTCAAAAATTATTGTATAGGAACTCAAAACATTTTTTAGCTTTAGCTATAAGACTTCCATGTTCTACATTTTGACTCACCACCGTACTCATAAAACGGTATAATCATGCCATCCACACATGTTGCTCAAGAGATTCTCGATGTGGCAACATAAGAGCCGTGGTTCATCTATGTGTGTACCATGTGTTGGATTACTTTTCTGGAAAACTATTGATATTAAATCGTAATTTAATGTAACATCATTTTTTGAATTGGGCACAGATCACCTGAGGTGATTCACTCTTGAGGGTGGATTCATCAAGTAATTAATAGGGGCACATGCCCCCAATGAAATTCAAAGTTTTAGTGTAATATAAATATATTATTAACAAAAAAGATAGTGCCCCAATCTTGAAAAAGTGAGGCCCTCAATGATTTATACAGAACCCATTGCGGAGTATAAAAAGAGAAAAAGAGCAAATAAGCCCCCAAACTATTTGAGATTCTGCAATTAGGCATCTGAACCGAAACAATTGCAAATACATCTCTCAACTTATTGAAAATTAAGCAATCGGATCTTTTTATACCCATTGGTGCAAGCAAGGACATAACTTTCTCATGATAATTTACCGGCATCAACAGGTAAAAAGGATCTGATTGTTTAACTCTCAATGAGTTGAGAGATGTGTTGGGATATTGGGGTCCGACCCAATAGCCGGACCAAAATATCTCAGGGGCCCAAAAGTAATGACAAACCCGAGAAGAACTCAACATGGCAGTGGTCTCGCGAACGAACTCTGGCCCGCTGGTGATGATATCGTTCGGAACCTCCCGAACAAGACATATTCCATACTTGAAGAATAAGAAGCACCGTTCTTGTTTACTGGCTTGGTGGACCCAAAGATCGATCGAGAAGCCTTGCAAGTGGCAGGGTGCATTTAATGCTGGGGCATGGGTGCCGCAAGTGGAAGTATGAGTGCACAAGTGGCAAGGAAAGCAACCAATCGGATTCGGCCACATCATCGCCCACCTACTCATCTCTAGTATAAATAGTAGCATTTATTTCACTGCAAAGAGTTAGCAATTCGATACTCACACATACATACTTCACTCTATCTCTTGTATTAGCCACTAAGTTGTAATTTCCGTTCGGCCTTTTCTATGTAATCACCATAATTACACTAATACAATTGGAGCTATTGGGTGATCTGATCTACTGATTTCTTGTTTAAATTACTTTCTATTCATAATCACGTCTGGTATTCAAAGGTTGGTGTTGGACATTTGGGTCTACGGGACTTAACCTCAACATGATGTATTTGCAATTCTTTCGCTTCAAAAGCCTAATTGCAGAATCGCTAATAGTTTGAGGGTTTATTTTCCCATTTTCTCTATTAAAAATGGGTGTGCAAATGTGTAGTATAATAGTCTAACCCAAATCCTTCTCCCTTCTAATTTATACGAAGTGCAAACTAATTTTCCGTTGGAAGATATCACAGCAATAACAGAACTTAAGCAAGATACAAAACGACAAAAAGTCTTTTGTCTATCATCTGCTCTCGAAACAGGCTTAGAATATATCACCTCCATATAAGAAGCAATAAGATTCGCTGATCTTGTAATAGGTTTAAGTGTTTAACTGAGCCAATGACGGGCAAACCAGATTTCTCATCACCTGTATTAAATTCTAGAGTTTTTCTGCTAGGAAATAAAAACACAACTAAAATGACATGCAGTTCGAAATAACAACACAAACAAAATAAAACTGAATTAAAATAGAGTTCACTCGTTTTCTTCCAAACCCTAGATTCTTCAGCACTTCATGGCGACAGTTCATGAGGGGGACAAGTCAGCAATATTGTAGCTTCTTCCTCTCCCTGCTTCTTATTCATCATGTTCTCTGTCAAACCTCCATTTTCGCCACCAATCACTGATGACCTCAAATCTAGATCTGTTATAGCTTTTAACCCCAAGCTTCGCCCATGACCTTCACTCGATGATGTCATCCTCTCGTTATTGTTGTCTCTACTTCTTGTTTGCACCACGAAACTCGTCGCATGGGAAAACCCCAATCGAAGAGCCGCATAATCGAACAGATCGGCGGAAGAACTAAAACCCTAACTAGAGGAAGAAATGGCCCCTTGAGCTTTGTACTAATGAAGTTTTAGAAATCACTTAGAGCATCTCCAATGCTACAATGTGCACGGTGCACATGTGACATAAGAGAGATAGACACAAAAGATTGAATTTATGACATTTCTCACTCCGTCTTTCCACGGTCTTATGTGTTTTTGGTAAGTTTTCCTCTGCAATGTCAAACACAATGTCTACATCTAGACATTGTGCTTGACATTGTCAAGAAAAACTTATCAAAATGGTACAAGATCCTTCAAATAAGGAGAGAAATATTTTATTTATTATTTTTTAATTGGTTATCTCTCATGCCACGTATGCACCGTTCACATTTTAGCATTGGAGATGTTCTTACGGTGCAAAGTAATTTTTAAATATTACTCCCTCCGTCCCTAATAGCTTTGCCAAGTTTGACTGTTGCGAGGATTAATAAAGTAAAAAATGTGTGGTTGAGGTTTGTGCAGAGGAGATAGAATTAACTGGAACCACAAATTTTTTACTTAAAAGGGAAAATGACAAATTTATAGGGGACGTAAAGAGTACCCATTTGATTTCATTTATGTAATTACTAGCTTTCAAGCCCGTGCGATGCACGGGCAGTATGTAATTTAGCTAATTTGAAATTTAATTTCTTTCAGATCACATATAATGTGATTTAAAAGAAAAAAAAACTTAGTCTAATATAGAGTCTGTTTGATAATGCTAAAATAAATAGAATTAACTTATTTTGTTGAAATTGATTGAATTCTGGTTAAATAGGTGGAATCTCCTGAATCATGAAAAATATATGTGAAATATATTCCATCTGTGAAAGAAAGAAAAAATTATATTAAAAAAAGTTAAATTGGTCTTCTACATGAGCAGTAAACATAATTATTATGAACCCAATATTAAAAAAATTCTCTATTTCTTAATTGTTAGATCTTACATTTTACTCATTAATAAGGACGTCTTATTTGAATTAAAATTTCAGGTTCTATTTGGTATAAATTAATATGGTCTAGTAGATGTCTGTTTTTTATGTGATTTATTATTATACTACCTCCGTTCTCTTTTAGTTGCAACGTAGGACTTTTTTCACTATTCACAGATTCTACTTTGACTACATTTTATTTATTAATGTATTATGAGTTAAATTTTTAAAAAAATATTTTCAAACTCCTCTCATAATAAATTTTCAAAATCTGATATTTTTTTACTTTTTTAATAATAAGGAATGAAAGATATTAACGGTCAAACTTATGCATTGGCAAGCGCGAAAAGTTGACTGTTGCAATTAAAAAAGAACGGAGGAAGTAATTGTTATGATTATTAAAATTTGATCTAATCTGATTTAATCTGAAACTGAAATCAATCCAATTAAAAACATTTTATTAAAATAAAAGTATGAATTTGTAAACATATCAAGATTTTCTAATTTGGATTAGGAATCTATTTTAAAAGTGAAGGCATATTTAAATTTTAGTTGTAACATAAAGATACAACAAAAAATATTTACTTATTTGGCTAGGCTAAACGTATTTACTTGCGAAAATATATATACTTTATGTTGGTTATAATTTTTAATTTCATTTCTAATTATTTATTTATTTGAATCTTACTAATTTATTAATAGGTGTCAAATTAATAAGTAAACTAATTTGCATATTTGTTTCTATTTAATTCCTTTTAGTAAACTTATGTAAATTAGTGATCATATCGTTATTAGAATTTCACTTTGATAACCAAGCCCGTGCAATGCACAGGCAGTACGTAATTTAGCTAATTTGAAATGTGATATTTTCTGGATCATATAAAAGGTTATGCAAAAGCAAAATAAATTTAGGGGTTGTTTAATTTCGACTAAATAGACTTAATGACAATTGACGACTTAATTATTCAGTCATTAAGAAATGTTTATTTATTATTTAATTGGAAGTATGACTTAATCAATTAGTTAAAAACTTAAATTAATCATTAAGCTCAATAATAGCAGTACTTCTCATTAAGATATCTATTGCGACATTTTTCTGTCAATTTTTTCAAATTGATTTTGGAATAGATTTATATTAATAAATGAAGTTTTTCACTAACACTATAAATTAAGAACAATACTAAATTGTTTATTTTACATGATTCAGACTGTTTATTCAGCATATAAAATAAATAGCCTCAAATACAAATATCACTAAATCAGAATTCTTAGCAGAGGCATACGTGTTAATCTAGACATGATTTAATAGAAGGAAAAAAACTCCTCTCAATTTAATATAGAGCCCGTTTGATAACACTAAAATGGATCAAATCGACTAATTCTGCTGAAATTGATTAAGTTTTGGCTAAATGATGTGCATAATTAATTTTAAATTTTAGTGGTGAGATGTTATATTTTTTACTCATAATTTTGTCACAATAAAAATGTCTAACAGTGCAGTTTTTAAAATTGCAACTCTTTTCTCAATTGGAAAATTCTAATCTAATAAAAAAAGAAATTTCATGAGTCCAGGATTCCAAACGTAGGTTTAAGGTTTCTAAATCCTCAAATTAGAAATTTAAAATATAGCCTAATAAGGTGGATTTCTACATCTAATAAAAATAGAATGTAAGAATAATATAAAAGGTATATAGTTAGTATGAGTTATGCTCGAATAATTTAAAAGGTATATAGTTAGTATGATTTTGAAGATGAATTAAAAACGGTATATAAAAACGATATAAAAGGTGGATTTATATATGATGACATGGCAGAGTTATGTGGCGCGTTGTATGCTTTTAAAAAGTTCCTCTTTTATATATATATATATATTGATTATTATACTTGTCCTGCCTTTGGCAATGCTACAACATCAATTGTGCGACAAACAGGACAACCACTCATTCTTCACATAACCATTCATTCATGTCCAAAAGAACTCGACTCATTAATTCCTGTTTCCCGTTCTTCATAACAATCCATTGTGGTGGTGGCCGGTGACTCGGCGCGGCTGCAACCACAGAATTAAGCTCCGGCCAGGGTGTTCCCGGCCCTGGCGAATACAAACCGGAGACGGGACAACATCAAAATCAAAATCTAAAGATATTTAACATCATAACATATTAGGCAGCAAAACAGAAAATTGAAGGCCGGCCAGGACACCGGGGAAACGAAATGTCGGGTTCGCCGCCGCCGCCGCCTCCCCTAATGAGGCCGGATTTTGACGTTGATAAGCTGAGCCAGGCGGTTCTCTGTTTTTCAGAGACAATATACCGATCAAACGGTGTGTGGGAAGGGCCTGATCCATTGACACCCATAATTCCTCTGTTCCTCCTCCAGATAATGGTGGCCATTCTCTTCTCCCGCCTTCTCAACTTGGCTCTCAAACCTTTCAACCAGCCTCCCATCGTTGCAGAAATCATTGTAAGTAGGACTTGTTTTCTAATTTCTGCTCCATATTATTTTTATAAATGGAGTATGAAAATTGCGAGATGACGACTTGCTTTTTATTATTATTAGTACTAGGTTTCAAGCCCGTGCGATGCACGGGTAATACATAATTTAGCTAATTTTCAATTTATTTTTTTGGAATCATATATAATATGATGCAAAAGCAAAAAAAAAAGTCTAAATATAGAGTTCTTTTGATAATATTAAAATTGGTGAAATCGGCTTATTTTGTTAAAATTGATTAAATTCTGACTGAATGGACTGAATAGGCAAAATATCCTGAATTATAAAAAAAAAATACTCCATTTGTGAAATAAAGAAAAAATTATATGAAAAATATTTAAATGATCTTCCACATAAGCATCTCAACTAATCATAATTATTGTGAACCCGATTTTAAAGAATTCACATAGAAGCTTCTTCATTAATCTCACGCCCTTTAAATTACTTTATTAAGCACCTCAAAATACATTCTTTCATATTCCTCATTCAACTTGATATGAAATATGGAGTACATACGATTTACTCATTATTAAAATGTACAAAAATTGGAGTATTTTTAATTTGTGACATTGAAAACGATTTTTAATTGTTATGAACGCCTGTATTACTTTATTGAGCATTCCAAAATAATTTTTTTTTTTAATATTTCTCATTCAACTTGGTATGATATACAAAGTACATGTTCTTAAATTTTAATAGTGAAATCTAACATTTAGCTCATTATTTCTTCACATTAAGAACTCCATTAACAAGGATGCTTTTAGTTGAATTAAAATTTATGGGTTTGATTTGGTCGAAAGTAATAGGATCTGGTAGATGTTTGTTTTACATTTTATGTGTTCTATTATTATTATTATTATTATTATTATTATTATTATTATTACTAAAGTTTGATCTGATCTGATATAGTATAGGCATGAAATCAATCTAATTAAAAACATCCTAAGATGTAAACATACAAAGATTTCCTAATCTGGATTAGGAATCTATTTCAAAAGTGATGTCATATTTAAATTGTAGTTGTAAAAATAAACAAATGAAATAAAAAGTACTCCGTATAAAAATAATCAAATAATTTTTACTCCATGCTTATAAAAAGTAGTACTCCGTATAAACGTTTTGGATTAATAATTATTAATTTTTGTGGTTCCACTCAGTGAATTGAATAATTATCAAATACGGAGTATGGATATGTAATATATAGGTTTTGATAAAGTTAGTTACCAAATAAGGTGGATTTTTATCATAAAATCTTTTGTTTCCATATCAATATTAAATCAAAAATAGAATCTAATAAAATAAATAAAAAGTACGTATTAAAAAAAGTACCTAGATTGATTTATGTGGCAGGATTAAATGGAGAAATCTATTTAAAAAGTACGTAAATGTGATGGACCATTGGAAAGTTACGTATTAAATGGAGTATTAAAAAAACTAAATACTAATTGTTATATATGATGGATGACATGGCAGGATTATGTGGCGCTTTGTATGCTCTTAAAAAGTTCCTCTTTTATATATATATATATTGATTTTCTTAAAATCCTGCTTTAAATAATACTATTTCATCTTTTTCCGTTTTACTGTCTTTGTTTGGACGTCTCATATAAAGTTTTTTATTTTTATTTTAAAAACAATTCACAGTCTAAATAATAATTTAATCATCAAATATTAAAAATAATACCTCTATAATATCACAATTATCATTAATAACTTCATTATATTATATACTCATCAAACCTAGTTTATAAAATATATTCGAATTATCTTATTTAATTATTCTCTAAATAACTACTACATATAACATTTTCTAACGGAAACTTTAAGCGGGATGGAGGTAGGATTAGTTATGAATTTTCGTTTTGGAAAAAATGGGTGTTGTTTTTATTAAATAGTATGTCACACCTCCTCATATTGTAGAGCTCATTTCATATAATCTCTTCGTTTTGACTTTTTATCAAACATAATCTTTTGATTTAACATGTTTCCTTAAAGCTCCGATTGCCTTTTGAAGTACATTGGATGGATTTGTTGAATGAAAAGTTTGTTTTTTCATATGATATTTCGTCGTTTTATAAATACGTATCATTTGAAAATGGGAAAATGGAAACTAATAATCCAACCTTTTAGCGGTCTTCTTACAATAATCCAACCTTTTGATTATTCATGAATAATCCAACCTTTGCACCTCATCTTCATTCACTGGTCCCTGACTGGTTGATGACCTGCTATTCCAAGCTATTTTCTTATCTTTGCAAATCATTATACCATAAATCTCATCTTTCACAAAGATAATATTTTGCAAAGGTAAGAAAATAACTTGGAATAGTAGGTCATTAACCGATCCCGGACCAGTGAATGAAGATGAGGTGCAAAGGTTGGATTATTCATGAATAATCAAAAGGTGGGATTATTGAAAGAAGACCGCTAAAAGGTTGGATTATTAGTTTCCATTTTCCCTTTGAAAATTAATTTTTACAGAATTCAATCAATTCCATCGTGTCAACCAATATTCCTATAATTTGTGTAGATTCAACTAATTTAATGTTATTAAACGAACTCCGGATATTACAAAATTAATTAAAGAATATTTTTAGAATGATCTTATTGTATTAGTAAGATAGTAAGAGTGTAAGACGTATAAAACTAAACAAATAGAGTAACACCTCTAAGACTAGCATGAATATAATACTATGTACAAATATAATAATATACTTTCAAAAGGATATGTTGTTTGTCTAATTGGACAACGGATAGTATTCTAGCATTGCCCCTTTTTTATGAGTTCCCACCTTTTGTTCCCACCTTCGGATAGCAAATTTCAACTGGTCAATCTAATAATCAATGCAATACAAAATTATGATTTCAATTGAAAGATTAACAGATTTTAGTATATACGGAGTATGTGACTAGAAAATCTATGTTATAAGACACATGTAACACCATTTATTTGAATAAAGAATTGAAGAATTAGCATATAAAAATTTGGGGTCATAGTCCTCTCGATTTTTTCGAGTTTATACCGTTTTCATTTTTATCCCGCTCCAACTCTATGTTTAGGGCTGAGCAAAACCCAATCCGACCCAAAAAACCCGATATTTTTTTCGGATATTATCCGAACCGAAGTGGATATCCGACCCGAAAAACCCAAAACCAGAAATCCAATTAGTATTGGGCCTAGACCGGGTGGCGGGTAGGGTTTGTGAAATCCCAACCCGATCCGCCCGAATATCTGAAATATATGTTAGTGTGTACATTGAATATTTAAATTAATATCTGTGTTCAATTATTTGTGTAATTATTTGTTCAATTTGTTTTAAATTATTTGTGTAAATTGAATGTGTAGTGAACTAGTGTGTACAACTTTTGTTAAAGTGACATTCCAACACTTTAACTATCCAATTATAATGTGTTTTGATATAACCAAAATATCTGAAATATATTAAATTATGTAGTGTGTACTTTGAATATGTTAAATTAATACTTGTGTTTAATTATTTGTGTAATTATTTGTGCAATTTGTGTTAAATTATTTGTGTAATTTGGAAGTTTAGTGCACTAGTGTGTACAATTTTTGTCAAAGTGACATTTAAACACTTTAATTTTTTTAATGTAACCGAAATATCCGAAACCCGACCCGATATCCGATAATATCCGACTTAAAAATATACGAAATACCCGATTTGAAATATCAAAGGGTTGAGCCTAGTATTTAAATTAAAAAATCCAAACGGGTTTAGGGTTCGCAAACCCGACCCGCCCGAACCCGACCCATGCACACCCCTATCTATGTTAACCTTTTTTTTATGGAAAGAAAACTCAAATGGCTAGCATTAGTGAAAATGTATTTTTCATATAATCTCATTTGAAAAAATACTTGGTTAATCTTCAGAAATAGTAAAAGGTCAAAAGAAAACTTAAATGGCTCGCATAACTCCATTATTGTTTTTTTTTTTTTTTGCTTCAAAAAATTGGAGATGCATAACTAAAGGTCAAAATAGTGAATTTATGCTTAGTCCTAACTTTTCTAACCAGTCTTTCAAGAGCGATAGAAAAGTAATATGGAAAGGTCTAACACTAATTAGTGAGTATCCATTAAAAAATCTGACTGGCGATGATAGAAAATATTTAAACAAAACAAAGTATATTACATTAGAGGATGGAAAACTTATGTATATGTAACCACTTTAATTAGAGGTTCAAAAACAAAGAGGCTATGTTTTGGAAGAGCAAAAATACATTGACATCTTTAGATTTGTTTAATGTTAAAGACTGTTCACTTGGAAATTACATTAGATAAATCATATCAAAACATATCAATAAAGATGAGACTGCACTTCAATATAGACCAGCCCAATTTAAATTATATCAAACCATTTCTAACTTCTACTGTACAATTCTAGTAAACTTGAATTGAAATGAACAATTGTTATTAATTGCTAGTGATATCACTATAGTTTTCTTAACATTGTGTATGTTCTTGATTTGAAGAGTGGGATTCTACTGGGTCCATCAGCATTGGGAGGAATCAAGAGCTTCCGAAATATGCTCTTCCCAAACTACAATTTCGAAATAATAGAGACAATGGCCCACTTAGCCCTTGTACTCTACGCCTTCATGATCGGACTCCAAACCGATGTCAAAGCAGTCTTGCGAACCGGAACCAAGTCCAAGGCCGTCTCACTTTCCGGCATCATGGTTCCATTCCTCGTAGGCACCTCCTTGTATTACTCATTGCCACATGATGAGAAACCAGGTGGTTTTGTATTCTGTGGTGGCGCACTCACGGTCACTGGCTTCTCCACACTGGCCAACATCCTAGAGAAACAGAAGGTTCTCCAGACTGATGTTGGAAAAGTTGCTTTATCGGCATCCTTAGTCTATGACTTGTCATCATGGGTGCTTCTTGCATTAGGATTAATGACTTCGGGGAGCAGTGAGAACATACATTGGGCCATTATCTGCAGTCTTGCATACATGGTGTTCTGTGTGTATTATCTACGTCCATTATTGGCATGGATAGTGAGGAAGACACCTGAAGGACAGGGGTACAGCGAGTACTACATATGTTCTTTATTAGTCGGGATGATGGTCTCGGGTATCATCACGGATGCGATCGGGACGCACCCGATGATCGGAGCGTTTATTTTCGGGCTTTTGGTGCCCTCCCAGGTTCTTGAGGCAGCTGTTCTCGACAGGCTTGAGGACTTCGTTATGGGAGTCCTCATGCCTGTCTTCTTTGTGGTCTGCGGCCTTAGAACCAACATCGATGTCATGGCTAGTGGTGTGAGCGTGTTTACTGTGATCATGGCGATACTCTTCGCCTTCGCCGCTAAGACCCTAGGTGCTCTTTTCTCCACTTGCTTCTCTGGCTTGTCATATAAGGAGGCAATTGCTGTTGGAGTTTTGACAAACACCAAAAGTACCCTGGCTATGGTTATTCTTGAGATAGGTCAAGTGCAAGAGGTATATATATGCAATTTACTCTTCCTTCTCTTCTTTTCCCTCAAAGCTCATTCAACTGTGATGCAGGCATATGTGTTAGCCTAAATATATACAACTTCTGATCTGAATATTGTAGGCTTTGAGTACTCAAACGTATTCTATAATGGTGGTTTCCGTCTTGATGATGACAATCGTGGTGACGCCATTGACGACCATGTACCGTCCATCACAAAATTTGGTGCCATACAAACGGAGAACAATAGCAAAGGCAAAACAAAATGAAGAGCTACGAGTCCTGGCATGTATCTATGGAACTAACGACATTCCTCCCATCATCCAGCTTTTAGAATCCTCGAATTCCACTGAGAAGTCGCCAATTAGCGCATTCGGCCTCCAGCTGGTTGAGCTCGTCGGCCGTGCTCCGGCCATGCTCGTTGTCCACAACTCGAGTCGGCGAGGGGTTTCCAGAAACCTAAGCCACGAGGAGGTCCAGACGAGCCAAATCATCAGCGCGTTCGACAACTACGAGCTTCGTTCAGAGGGAGTGTCCACTCAGGTTCTAACCGCAAGGTCAGCTTTCTCAACAATGGCTGAAGACATTTGCAATTTAGCCAGGGAGAAACGGACGGCCTTCATCATCCTCCCCTTCCACAAGCAACAGTCCCCCGAAGGTGACATGGAAGAGACAAATCCGGCAATTCAGAGCGTTAACGAGGGAGTGCTTATCAACGCGCCGTGCTCGGTCGGGATCCTCATCGACCGCGGGCATTCTTACTCGAATGTGCCTGCCCGGAACATTGTCATGCTCTATTTCGGCGGGCCAGACGATAGAGAAGCATTGACATTAGGGCAGAGAATGGCCGAGAAATCAGGGGTACATCTGACCGTGATAAGGTTCATCCCGGGGAAAGACGTCCCGGAAATGGACCCGATGGGATTCTCCGGCTACAACAGAAGCTTCGTTAGCATAAGCATCGACGCCGACAAAGACAGAGAATCAGATGAATTGTTCCTCAACAATTTCAAATCTGCCACGGCGGATGACAAATCCGTGACGTGCGTAGAGGTGGTGTTGAACGATGAAGAAGAAGCCATCAACGCTATAAAAGCAATGGACGGTCGGAAATACGATCTGTACCTGGTGGGGAGGGGACGGGGGATAGCGTCGCCGTTGACGGCGGGGCTTGCAGACTGGTGTGACTGTCCGGAGTTGGGCGCAATAGGAGACCTTCTAGTGACGTCGGAGTTCGAATCGGCGTTCTCAGTACTGGTGGTTCAACAGTATATGAAATCTTCTAGATCTGGTGAAGAATCTGTACAATCTTCAGACAGGATGAGTCAAATGATGATCGATACCAATAATAATAATAACAGCAACAACAATATCAACAGTAGCAGCACTAAGGTGGAGGAGATGGCCCTCCGACGATCGGCGTCTGAGAGTGAATCGGCATTCGAGTCATTTTCGAGCTTCAATGGGAGAGATCACATCTAATCGCCGGCGGGCTGAATTTCTGAGTGATTCAGAGTATGAAATGAATCAAATTGTTGTTATTATTACGATTAATTTCACTAATTCACAAGTCAAAAATTTTGTTATCGAACTTCATTTTATATTTCGTCCATGGTAGCAGAAGCTTACTTGCAGTTGCAGTAGTTGAGCTAGTTCTTTTGATCAGTGCATGTAGACCAAATTTATCAATCGTTTTATGATCACCAATAAAATTCCAACTTTTGCGTTTATTTTCTCTTCGACGATGAAATGGAGTTCATATGTAGTGATTGATGCTCGTTGGTAGGTTTCAGAAATGAGCTTAGAAAATGAATATATTCAAGGTGACAACTAATGTCCTCAATTAAAACTCTGATTGAAAGTGATGAATTTATTGAAACTGATGAGTTGGCTATATGGGGTGTTTGGAACTGATTGTGCTTCTGTTTCTTTTTTTAAAGCACAAGCAGAATCAGAATCAATTTTCAGAAGCTGGTACCCTCCAGCTTCTAAAAAAGGCTGATTCTGGGAGTAATTTAGAGCACCAGAAGTGCTTCTGTAATTTCACCCAAACACTCCAACTTCTGCTTCTGCTCTTTGAAGGAGCAGAATCAGTTTTGAGAATCAGATCCAAACACCCCCTATGTGCTGAATTATGAAAAAACTATATTTAAAGTATATTTTGTTAAAAAATAAAGAAAAAATTGTATGAAAATAGTTCAATGATCATTTACAATAAATTTACAAAATTCAGCCTGAAAAGTATTCTAAGGACATGTTTACTTCGTTATTTACTAAACGGTGTTTAGTAAAACATGGGTTAGTAAGCAATTGCTTACTTAGAGATGCTTATTAAGGATGTGTTTACTTTATTTGGTTTAAAATATGTATTGTGTACAAAATGTCAAGAATAGCCTTAAATCCTACCTATGTCATCCATCGTTCTATCTGGCCAGAAGCAACCCAACCGTTTCTCATCTCCATTAACGAATAAATCTCGCAAGTCCACCATCTCAATTCGAACTTGTATATATAGATATATACATTGCTACTGTAGAAATTCTTATGTCTTTGCACAAGGAATCACAGGGAGCAAAAACCGGGCCTTTTTGTTGCTCTTCCACCTCTTTGAAGAAGGTCGGCAGAAATTGGAGACATTGGAAAAGTCCGTTGGTCTTAGACGCCTTGTACCTAAGTAAGGAGAGTTTTTCTTTGTGTCAAAGAAATTCTGGAGGACAACGAAGGTCGGCAGAAACGTAGAAATCAATAGGGCGTGGTGTTAATTATTAGGGTTAGATGTAATAAGAAATCTGCAAGGCTACAAAATAAGGGCAAGACGGTCAAAATGAAACTCCTTAAGTCGCCGGCTAATAAAACATGGGGGGAGGCGTTTAACAAATGTCGATTAAATGGTCTGATGGGTTGGTAAGCACGCATTTACCCGGTCAGGAACATTTACTTCAGGCTTCTTAATAACTAAAGGTGAATTAAACGGTAAAGTAAACATGTCCTAAGTCTCTAATGTTAATTATTTTGATTATTATAAAACGCAACATGCAAAATTAAAAGTTACTGCTTCCGTTCCTTATAACTTTGTCAAAATTTTCTTTTAGTTTTCACACAAACTTTGTTATATTTCCTTTTAAACAAAGAATATGTGATTCTTTTTAATTCTATCTCTGCACATATCTTTATCACACAACTTTATACGGAGTACTTTGATATTTTATATGTCTGTCAATTAGGCAAAGTTATAAGAGAAGAAAGAAGTATGTGTTTAGTAAGAAAGTCCGACTGACAAGATTGATAACATGAATAGACAGAGTACAAATAAAAAAAGTCATATTATGTAATACATAGTACTTTACAAAAAACAATTCACAGACTCCAATCCTCACCTATGTTTAATGTTCTAAAAGGCGACAAAAGGCGGGGTCTAGACGTCGTGAGGCGTTCGAAAACTGTCTGCATAGTAGAAAGGCGAGGAAAAGGCGTTCAACTGAAGAGTTGGCCACAAAAGACGTGAAAAGGCGTAAGCCTAGGCACGCCTAGGCAAAAGTTTTTTACATGAAATATTTTTTGCAAAAAGAAAAATGGTCTAAAAAAATGCTTTTCTAAACATGCTATGTAGTGAATCTAATGTGGAGTTGTAAAAAGCAACAATATATCAATTTGTACTTGCACTTTTTATACATCTAAAAACTATATATATTGAAAAATGTAAAAAATTGGGCTCAATTTTGTATAATATATTTTGGACATTTATTTTTTCTTCATATATCACTATAAAATAGTAATGATCAATAGAAATCTAAAATGCCTTTTCACTCAAGGCTGAAGGCAAAATGCCCCTTATCCATATTGGGCGAGTCAGCATGAAAACCGGCAAAATGCCCCTTATCCGGTCTAGTTAGCTATTGACCCATAACTCCATAAGTATGGTTAAAACCAAATAAATCGACAGTCCGCTCACACCGGGGCGCATCCTGGATCGGTGAGAACCCAGGAACTCAGTAAAAATCGAAAATCAACAATTTCAAAATGTTTTAACCTAGAGTTCCTTATATGCAATTATCTTTTTTTTCGAGGGATCCTTATATGCAATTATCCTTATCATATAAATTAAAATGTTATTAGTCAGGTATTAAATTGTTAATGACTACATAATAAGTATACGTATACTGCAATGTTCTAAAAGGCGCTAGGCGCTAGTCGAGCGTCAGCCCAGCGCCTAGCGCCTAGTCGGCTAGGCGGGCGCCTAGGCGTGGACTAGTCGGAGACATAGAAATTGTTGTTTTATCAATATTTTTGCATAAATATGACTAGTAGTGTTTGTGTTTGTGTGTGTAAAAAATATATACACACATACACATTAACATGCATGAATGATAAAATTATCACATTTAATAATATATTATACCTAACCAGTCACTCACTAGCAGCTTTCTTCATATGTATTGTCACATATAAATGTAGATATATCTCTTAGGATACTAAAACAAAAAAGAAAAACAAAATTGTTTGATGAATAATCTAGACGCCTATGCGGCCCATTAAGCACTCTGGGCGGGCAACTAGGCTCTCTAGAAGACCGACTAATTCACCTAGGCGCCGAATCAATTAGTCGGAACGCCTAGACTAAAATCGGGGCGCCCGACCACCATCTAGCGCCTAGGCGGGGACTAGTCGGGCGCCAAGAGCGATTTTTAGAACAGTGCGTATACATATTGTTTCTATTGTTGTACAATCCGATTGTGTATAGAACATTCAAATATAAGTTCAAATGCTTACAAAATATTTCTAACATGGGAAAACTGTCAAATAGGCACCCGTAGTATATCAAAAAAGTCAATTGAGTCGCCGAACTAAAAAAACATCCAATTGAGCCCTTGAACTTTACAAAAATGTTCAAATGTCTAATTTAGCAAGTAACATCTCAGTCAACCGGTTACCATGCTTATCTGGATTTTACTTTTCTTTTCTTTTTTTTTTCATTTTCTTTTATCCTTTTGTTTTCAATTTTCGTTTTTTCATCTCTCTTACTCTTCTTCCTGTGCCAACATTCCGCCCCATCTTTCTTCTTACAGTCAACGTTTTTTTCTTCTTTCTTTCCTACCGGCGACGACGGACAAAGGCATTGACGTAGTCATATTGAACCTGTTCTATTGATAGCCACGTTCCCATTGTCAACCTCCTTAATTAGCTTTCACCATCTCCGCCCCCACACATCTCCTCGCTGTCCAGGACGCCGGCTCGCCGGATCCTTCAACCCCAAATTTTTTAGCAACCAATCATTTGCCTTATCTGCCGCTAGCTAGGTTCTGCAACTCTACTCCCTTGGTAACCGCCACCAGATTATAGACTTCCACCGGCACCTTTTCCATGTCTTCTTGAATTCGAATCTGACATCGACAAAGGTAGTGTAGGATGGGTTGGCGATGAACCTGAAGAATTCGTGAGGAATGGTGTTGCGCTGGTGTAGTAGAGAAGTTGGAAGATGAGGCTGCCGTCACCAACGGAGA